GCTGCTCACCAAAAGGTCAGCAGTTCAAACTCACCCCAAGTGAAAGATGTGGTCTTCTGCTTCTGGAAAAATGCATGACGTGGGGTCAGGAGTATGGGGTGGCACGTGGTGGCCTCAGGAGCTGCCCAAGCAGGAGCTGCAGCGGTGCCAGGAGCAGAAATGGTGGCGGCTTCATGTGCAGCAGCTGCAGCAGCTCAAGCACCTGGAGTCCTTTCATGGAAAACTTCCTCCAGGGCTTCTCAAGGAAGATGAGACTAAGCCAAAAGACTGTAGACCAGATGTACCGGGCAATGAACATGCCCGGGGATTTCTGGCTCATGCACCAACTAAAGGACTGTGGATGCCACTGGGGAGCGAAGTCAAAGTTATGCATTGTGGGCCTTGCTAACAGTATGGTCACTGAACAGGTGACAAAGAGTGCCCTTTTTTATCAGAGGCAACCAAACATTAGAACCATTCAGCGTGGCACATGAAGACCCCATGTCTGTCATCACACGAGAGAAGAAAAGACATGAGAAGGATGGAAGGAGACAGCAGCTCCTGGAGGACTCCAGCTCTGCTACCTCAGGATAAAGAGAAGCACAGGCAAAAGAAGACAGAGGAGCATAAGAAAAGGAAGAAAGAAAAGCAAAAGGAGAAAAAACAAAAGCACACGTCTTCCAAATCAAATGTGAGCTAAGACTCAGACGGACAAAAGAAAGGATTCGTTCCCCATTTTCTTCTCAAAATGAGACTCTTGTGGCCAAAGAATCAGGGAAGAAGCAACTGGAGAAAGCAAGCCGAGCGTCCACTTGGCTGTGAACTCTCACCTGTCTTCCCATCGGGTGTGTCACCTCCCAGGTGCTAGTTTGGGAGAGCTGCTGATTTAATCAGGAACACTGACACCAGTGTTCTCCTCTGTCTGGCCACTACCTACAACATGTGAGTCATTCAAAATGCCTCCTTTGGCAGGTGCCCGGCCACAGAACTCTGAAGACACTTCTGTGGGTTCCCCCTCATAGTGAGACTACGTAATAATGCCTTCTGATTTATTTCACAGGCTTGTTTGTGTATTTACTCTGATGTTCACAGTAATCAAAGCTGATTATTTTATTTAAAAAGTGCATAGCCTTGGAAACCCTATAGTTGGATTCTGCTCTGTCCCATGAGGTCCTATGCGTCGAAATGGACTTGATGGCAGTGGGTTGGGGCTTGGGGGTCTGTGTTTGGGGAAATGTGGTAGAGCCATCTTGTCTTCGCTCTGCTTCTGGACTCCATCCTTGCATGTTCACTCACTCATTTCAGAAGTACAAGGGCACCTCAAAAAATAACTGCAAAAATTAAATTAAAAAATGATGGAATTTCTCCATGATCTTTTAGAAGCCTCATAGTATTTATTGACATTATCTGCTTTGGGCTCAACACCATACCAGACACTCAGGACACTACTAGGGATGCGAGGGCCCCAGCCCCTGCCCACAGGAGGCTTGTAGTGCAGTGCCTTGAAGCTTGGGGCTTGAAACATGGAGTGATGGGACTTGCAGGTTTTTGACGACAGGATTCATTGGTGCTTCGAAGAAATAGAATTACTGTCCTCTCATCACTTCCCCTGGTTTCCATCCATTCCTGTGCGGATGTGTACAATTGAACTCATAGGAGCTCTTTTGGCCACCAGCACTTGTGGATTTTTCATAGCAAACTGGGATTCGTAGGTGTGGGCCTATTTCATAAAAGCTGCTAGGGGGAGTGATCGAAGGACTGCACCAGCCCTGATTCCCCAGCTGGTGACCTCTTACCCTCACCTGAGTTAGCGCTATTTACATTCATAGGATTCAAAGAGCAAACTGTGATGGTCACTTCATGAACCAAAGGGTGTAATAGGAGGAAGCTGACTTTTTTAATACAATCTCAAAATGAACCTATGTGGGCATTGCAAGGGGGTTAAGCCTAGATGAATTGGACAGCTGTGTGCGTGTGTGTGCGCGCGCCCACGCGCGCGCGTGCGTTTTCTAGGTAATTGGGTTTTCAGATGAAAGGAAGATTAATACACAAGACCTCTTAAATATAAAATGTTGCTTAACAACTTTCCTAAATGCATTAGGTTTCCGCCTGAGTTAAGTAGAGTAAAGGGAACAAAAGCAACAGTCCTGGTGGGTGTAATTGTTCCCTAGGGACACCGAGTGGTGCTGCTAAACAGGAGTAGCCTTCCACCCTAGGAAGTAGAAAGGTGAGGCAGAATATGAACTCACCCAAAGAAAGCTCTGGAAGGTTCTTGTTTTCAAAAAAGACTCCGGGCCCTGGGAACTCTTCATGCCATCTACTTTGTACGGAATAGGGACATTCTAGTACCATAATCTTTTATGACTAAGTGAATCCCAGTGAGTCATCTCACATTCATGCAGCTCATTGGATCTGCCCAGTGAGACAGAGAGGGCAGGGGTATTTCACCAACAAGAGGTGATTTTGTGGCTCTGTCTCAGCACATAGGGACTCCAAAACGGATATGGCTTATCCCCAGTGAGGAGGGCAGTGGTTTGGCAGCAGGGGTCACAGGAGGGTTGAGTTCGCTGAGCCGCAGAAGACCTGGGCTCTGGGGCTCAGGACCCTGGGCAGCAGGCCCGTTGATTCCTTTCTTCTGGAAAGAGGCTCCCTGCACACAAGTCCTTTCAGGTCCTTCAGGAGGCAATAGGCTTCATGATCCTAGGACAAGTGTGAGAGGGGATGGAGTCAAGGGCAGTGTGAAGCAACCTCCTCTTGACCTGTCTATCCTTTCCCACTGGACTGCCAGGTGAATGGGCACTGGAGTAGGTGACTTAATGGACGGACATCCCTGGAAAAAATTGGGGACCTGTGGAAAGATCCCTGTTTTAGGAAACCATGCTTCTTAGTCTCAGTTCAGCCAGTAACCAGCTGGGTGACTACCTCTATAAACAGATCACCCACCGCATACTTTCTGCTTCCTGGGGTGATGCTGAGAAAACAAAATAGAAGCGCCGAGAAATGCTTTGAAAAGTATGCTGCATGATCCTAAAACCCAAACCCAACCCACTGCTATAGAGTGGATGCTGACTCATAGTGACCCTATAGGCCAGGGTAGAACTGCCCCTGCGGGTTTCTGAGACTGTAATGACTTATAGGAGTAGAAAACCTACTAATTCTCCCTCATGATACCAATGTTACTGTAATTCAGGCTCTTGTCTTACTAAAGTGAGAAGCCCTGGTGGTATAGTGGTTACACTTTGGGCTATGATCCCATGGTCAGCAGTTCAAAACCACCAGCAGCTCCATAGGGGAAAGGCTGAGCTTGCAACTCACATAAGCAGTTACAGTCTCAGAAACCCACAGGGGGGTCGATATGAGTCAGCGCTGACTTGATGGCAGAGAGTTATTTTGGTTTTTATCTCAGGGAGTCTTCCTAGAGGAAAGATTTACTTTTGGAAGATAGGGCACCACAAGAGAATTTCATTTAGAGACTTCTAAGAGGATGAAGACCTTAGCAGCCAACATGGCCAGCCTCAGTATTTCTTGTCCCACCCTCATGCATACCAAGCATTTTTTTAAGGGTTCCCTCATGCAGAGGAGAATTTTCGGAACTTCCTGTGGGGGTCAGAAGGGTTTCTGGGGAATGAAGTCCCACAGTGTTGCTTTGGACTCCTTACATGCTCGGTCCAAATGCCCACCTGCACTCCCGGGCCCTGTCTCACTGACTGTTTTCTTTTGCTTTATCCAGTCGTCCCTCTCCAGCCCTGACATCTTTGACTCTCCGAGTCCAGAAGACGACAAAGAGGAACACGTTTCACTTGCACACAGAGGAGCAGACTCCTCCAAGAAAACTTCAAAGACTGTTACCATATCCCAAGTAAGTGACCCAGCAACCACAACTAGGTATCCTGGCCGCAGAGGAGCCTGCCTTCCACGCAGGCTTTGCCGGCAGACTTTGAAGGCATATAAGGACTGTCTGCTCTTCTCTTCCATACATTCACACCCATTCCTATGTGGCTATGTGTAGCTTGTCAACCAAATCAGGGTGGCAGAAGATGTGGACATTTGTCATACTGTAGTGACAGCCTCAGAGGTGGGCAGGATCTCTGAGACACAGGTTCAGTTGTTTACTCCCCACATTGTTGTTTCTTGCCCTCCAAACTGTGTGTCTGTCCTTCCCTTCCTCCCTCCTCCCCACCCTCTCTCTGTCACACCCCCACCACCCCCACCACCGCTGCCTGCATCGCCAACATCCAAAAAAACTTTAAAAGCCTACAGGTGCCTAGTATATTAAATATTCTGCCCTCTGCTCATGGATCTTCACTTCTATGTACTAAGCTGGTGGTGTCTGAAATCACATCAGACAACTAGTCCAGGCAAATAATAGATGAGATGTCTTCAAGGAAAGTGGTTTTGGATTTGGGTTTCAAGGTGCATTTAGAGCCTGAAAGCATCTTAATTTCACTGCATGTCCAGGGAATAGTATTTTTTTTTTCTTCAAAAAAAACACTGCCATTAAGTCAATGCCAACTCATAGTGACCCTACTGGACAGGGTAGGAATGCCCTTTTTGAGTTTCTGGGAGTAAAAAGCCCCATCTTTCTCCCAAGGAGCGGCTGGTGGTTTCAAACTGCTTACCTTGCAGATCACAACTACACCACACCACAAGGGCTCCTGTGGGGAATAGTAGAGCTGTTTTAAAGTAATGGTTTGTGAGAGAAACAAAGAAAACATCGTTTTGCTACTGTGTGTAGATTTGGAAGTGCAAGTACAAGTTCTCTTTTTCTTGTGACTAGGGGGTAAGATTTTAAAATTGCATTCTCTCATAGTAAGGGAACCTAATCATTGGGAATTGTTATCTGTATTATTATAACACCTTTCTGGCTAGGAGCAGAAAACGGTAGCTGTTTTGAAAGCATTTGAAGTGGGGCTTCGAGAGAAAGCAAAGGTTAGGGAGGGTGTCTCTGTCTCATAGATTTAAGAACTCACAAGTATGGATTTTCTTTAAAATATTACACAGTAAGTCAAACGATGATCCTCTCACATAGATCAATTGTAATTATCCACAGAACCGAATCCTTCCTTGAGCACAGCTTCCATTCGCAGAAATCTGGTGTAGCCCCGTGTCCTCTGGTGACGCCAGGGGCGCACTTACCATGTGCTGTCAGCCATCCCTGAGGTGGGTCGACAGCGACACCTACCGGTAGGCATCAGCTTTTCACAGGTGGCAGTTGGGAAAAGCAGGAGCCCAGGAATTAGGAAGTTTATATCTCCTGACAGCGACAGCTGCCACTGTGCTGGGCACCAGGGGTCTGAAGAGTACAGAAGGAATTAAGCCCCATTGTTCTACTGCTGATTCTAACCTATGAGACTTACAGCGTTACTCACCTACCTCACTAAACCTTAGTTTCCTGCTCAGTAAAATGTGTGGGCCTGTCGCTCCCACTGAAGTCCGGCCTGTGACATCAATGCCAATGTCAGTTCCTCTTCTCTAGAAGCAGCCTTGGTTGCATACACATTGTGGTTACACATTGGCCTGCTACCCGCAAGGTCTACAGTTTGAAACCACTAGGTACTCCATGGGAGAAAGACGAGGCTTTCTACTCCCTAAAGAGTGACAGTCTCAGAACCCCACAGGGGCAGTGCTACACAGTCCCATAGGGTCTCTCTGGGTCGGAATCTATTCAATGGCAGTGAATTTGAGGACTCGCACTCCTTCTAACCCAGAGACCCTGCCTGGAGGGATTGCAGAGAGCAAAAAGTGGGTGGCAGGTGAGCGGGAAAGCAGAGGGGCCAGCAGGGGTGGCTCATCTGCCTTTGCTCCATCTGCCAGGCCACTCTTTCTAGCACTGCCCGGATCCTCTCTCCCCATTCACTGGGCCAGTCATTGAATGGCTCCTGCTGATGCCAAACCTCATCCCCCGCCTCTACATCCTCCCTGTCACCTATCTACATGGAGGTGAGACACGACAGGGACTGGAATCCCTGCCACCCTCACCCGCTACTTTCCCTCCTCTCTCTCAGCTGCCAACTCCCCTTCCACCTTCTGCCCTGGGTGTCCCCTCTTGTCCCTCCTGTGACCCTGTGCCACCAGTCTTCCCCATCTGTCCCCTTGGCTTTCAGCCTGGCCCTCCATTGGCTTTCTCAAAGAGCCAATGTGTATCATCTTTGAAGGCAAAGAAACCCCTTCCTTGGCTGTCTCCTGAGGTGTCTGCATGGACAACCTGCCTCCCTCCCTCCCTCCCTTAGCCGCATTTCGAGACAGAGAGCCCTAAGCTGCTCCCTCCCCTCCCTCTGGCCCCACTGCTCAACCCAATGGCCTCCCTCATTTACTCTCAGCACTTAGTCTACCATTTATTCTTTCTGGAAACATCTCTGAAAGAGACTCCTATAGCTCAGACCCCTCTTCCAGTCTGGCTGTGTTGTCTTTCTCCACTCTTTTCTCACCTCTTGAGCTTGGAGATGCTTCAGCGATGCGTCCCCATTTGGCCTTTCCTCTTCTGTAGCTCTGTTAGCCATCGTACCTTGGCTTCCTCCACCGCTCCTGACTGGCTTTCTCTGGGCAAACACTGGACTGCCCATAAGACACGCCTCTTGGCTCGCCCTCAGGCTCCTCAAACTCAGAGTACCTCCGACGGAAATCTTCTTCATCCGTCTAGCCTGACATACAATCTTTCAAATTCGTCATCAAGCCCTTTCCACCACCCTCCCTCCCACCCTCCTGCCCCTTGGACCTTTCCAGCCTTACTGAACCACCTGCTTCTAGAAATAACTAATGGTGCTGTGGTTTTTTAGGCCTTTGCCTCTAGAGTTCCTTCCCGTCTCCTAGAATGGCCTGCTCCGGCCACCCCTCCAGTCTCGGCCCCCTCCTTGTCCTCCTCTGATGCCTGTCCCTTTTCATGTGTTTCCCTGCCGGGCTCTGCTGGCTCACTCCCTCTGCTGTATTCTCCCCCCTCAGCTGCACTATGGTTTCAGCCTGTCCCACTGTGCGTGTTGCACGGGGCTCTGAGCAACCTAAGGGAAAGTGACAGCTCGCTTCCGAGCCTGACGAGCCTATGGGTGACTCCCTGCCCAGGAGCACTAAGGAGAGAGGCAGGTGGTGATGTGGGTGAAGGGTGTGTGTCCCCCCAGTACCCTTTCTCCTCTGTCTCCACAGGTGTCTGAAAACAAAGCTGCCCTGCCACCCAAGCCTGGCATCATGGCTGCAGGCAGCGGGCCAGTCTCGCTGTCTGCCACGGTGCCCTCCCCACTGTCGTCCTCTTTGGGAACAGTCGGACACAGAGCCAACTCCCCGTCTCTGTTTGGCGCGGAAGGAAAACCAAAGATGGAGCCCGCAGCCAGCAGCCAGGCGGCCGTGGAGGAGCTGAGGACCCAGGTCCGAGAGCTGAGGAGCATCATCGAGACCATGAAGGACCAGCAGAAGTGAGTGTCAGCCCCTCCCCGCCCCTGCTCTGTGCTGGAGTTCAGGGGATGGAGGGGAGACCAAGAAGCTTCCCTAAAGATAGCACCTCCTGTACACTGGGAATATTGTGTACAGGTGCCACCTGGTGTGGGGTGTGCAGAATAGAGTTCTAGGGCCCGATGCAGCCCGCAGGGTGCTAACAGGCCAATCCCTGTAACCTCCCACACTGCCAGCTCTACATGTGCATCCCTCAGTCTGTCCATCTGACAACCAGCTGCTCTCCAGAATCAGCCAGATAGCTGCCAGATAAACTGATTGGCTTGTACTTAGGGACCATATTACATGATAAAGACACAAGGCATCTTTAAAACCTAAGACACAAGATGTGCTCACACACGCCCTACCGCAGAGGTGGGGAGAGAGGCCTGACAGTAAAAAAAAAGCAACCTAATACCTGTTCCACCCAATGCCATATGCTGTGACAATATCGTTGCAAAGATCAGAAACAGGAAAAGGCCCTTAGCTGAGGCTTACAAAGTCTAGGGCTCAGTTAGCTCACTCTTGAGCGATTCCAGGAAGGCATCTTAAAATGTTTCCTGAAGAGGGTTTTGAAAGATGAACTAGGATTGTCAAGTGACCTGAGAGGCAGGGGAACCAGCAAGTGTACTTACTGGGCCATGTGGGACAGCCTTAGATCATGAGGTGCCCAGGCATGGTGGTAGCAAGACCTGGGGCTGCGTACAAGCTCTGGTCCTTTGCTTTGCTTCTTCTCATTGGTCCGGGAGGCCCTGAAGAGCTTTGTGGTCAGATCTGGTCTCAGTTATTCAGGGCTGCCCTAGCAGAACTACCCCAAGTGGGTGGCCTTGACAGACAGAAATATATTCTTTCACAATGTAGGCGGCTTGCAGTCCAATTTCGGGGCAACTGCTCTACAGGGAGGCTGGTCATTAGTGTTCCCCTGTATCTAGGAGCTTCTCAGCTCAGGGACCCCAGGTCCAAAGGACACTGTGTTCTCAGTTCTCTCTTGCAGGTAGCTGGGTCTCTTGCTTTCTGCTCCCTTCTCTCCCCTTTTATGTCTTTTAAGATAAGAGGTGATGCAGGCCATGCCCCAAGGACACTCCTCTTACATCTTTTCAGGGCTGTGATTACCCTAACCCCCTTACAACTGATTGGGTGATCACATCATGGGGCGATCCCATCGGGACATAGCTACTAAATGATGTCGTTACGTAACTCCCAAACCATAAGAGTCATGGTCCAACCAAGTTGACACATATTTGGGGGAGACAGTTCAATGTGATATTCTGTTTTCTGTTCTCTCTCTCTCTCTCACACACACACACACACACACACATCCTTCCCAAATGTAAAACACTATCACCCCATCATATCATCCTAAAAGTCTCAAGTGAACTCCAAGTCCACATTCCATCCTGGGGCCAAATTCTCTACCTAACATTTTATGGCATCTAGTTTTGGAAGCCAGGAAATAGTGCACATTTTTGTCCTGGCAACTAATTTTTAAAAACAGTGTAAACTAATAGTTTTGTCCACTTTTTCTTTCTAAGAGAGCCAGATTTCTCGTAAGAGGGAAAAAAAACCCAAAACAAACTCACTGCCATCAAGTCGATGCCAACTCATATAGGACAGGGCAGAATTGCCCCTGTGAGTTTCTGAGACTGGAACTCTTTTTTTTAATCATTGCATTGGGGGCTCATACAACTCTTATCACAATCCATACATGCATCAATTATATAAAGCCCATTTGTATATTCGTTACCCTCATCATGCTCAAAACATTTGCTCTTCATCTAATCCCCTGGCATCAGCTCCTCATTTCCCCCCTCCCTCCCCACTCCCCCCTCTCTCATGAACCCTTGATAATTTATAAATTATTATTTTGTCATATCTTGCCCTGTC